GGATCTCTGTGAGTTCGAGGCCAGCCTGGGCTACCAAGTGAGTTCCAGGAAAGGCACAAAGCTACAAGAGAAACCCTGTCTCGAAAAACTAAAAAAAAAAAAAAAAAAAAAGCTCTGGATGCCTTTAAACCAAGCATGGTAATGCATGGGTCTAATGCCCGCACTCATGAGTGGAGACAGGAGGATCAGGAGTTCAAGATAATCTTTGGCTATAAAACCAGTTCCGGGCCTGGTGGTGGTGGTGCACACCTTTAGTCCCAGCATTCAGGAGACAGAGCCAGCCTGATCTACAGAGGGAGTTTCAGGACAGTCTCCAAAGCTACAGAGAGAAACCCTGTTTTTCAAAAAAAAAAAAAAAAAAAAAAACAAAAAAACAGTTCTGGGCCAGCCTGGGATATATGAGTCCCCGTCTTAAACTTGAGGGGGTGGGGGGTGGGGGTGGGTAATTAGTGAAAGACTGATGGGAAAACATGAAGAGTTGAGCCCATATTCTGAGCATCGACTTAAAATCCCGGTGCTGGGGATGCAGAGACAGGAGGATTCCTAGAATTATCGGTCCAGCCAGTCTAACTGAATTGGTGAGCTTCAAGTTCAAAGACTCTGTCTCAAAATTAAGATAGAAAGGAAGTGAGGAAAACACCCAGCGTTGACATCTGACTCTCGTGCACATAAACACATACACACACAAAGAAGTATGTGCCTCTTGAAGTTTACATTCCATTGAGAGACAAGATACAGGGCTGGAGAGATGGCTCTGTGTTTAAGAGTGCTGGCTGCTCTTCCAGAAGATGACGATTTGAGTACCTGAACCCACCTGGCTGATTATAAGCATCAACATAGGTGATCTGATGCCCTGCAAAGACATACAGGAAGGCAAAACACTCATCCATATAAATAAAAAATGATGCTTTGCTGGGTGGTATTGGCATATGCCTTTAATCCCAGCAGTCGGGAGGAAGAGACAGTCGGATCTCTGTGAGCTCAAGGCCAGCTTGGTCTATAGAGTTCCAGGGCTATTACACAGAAAAACCCTGTCTCAAAAAAAAAAAACAAAAAAAAAAACAGAAAACAAAACAAAAAAAATTTTTAAAAGGATATACCCATATAAAGGAAAATTTTAAGATGAAGTTAAATAAAAAGGCAAACAGAAGAAGAGGAAGTAGAGAAAGGAGGAGGAGAAGGAAGAGGAGGAGGAAAAGAAAGGAGAAGAAGGAGAAATAGGCAATAAGAGTTTCCAAGTGGGACAGTGGATGACAGCAACATATCAAATTACCATAGGCAGTGGAGGTATTCAGGGCAGAAATCTGGTTGAAAAAAGGGGCCAGGAGATTTGATTGATACTTAGACAGTGGGCTGAGAGGATGTGGAAAAGGCTTGGATGAAAGCTATGCAATTAGCTGGACCTTGAAGTGGGCCTGAAAACTGGCTCTGAATGTGTGGAGGAGTTTGTTCTGGAGGGAAGGACCCACAGCAGCACTTGTGCAGAGCTGGGCAGAGCAGAGCCTGGCCTGGATCCTGGGAAGAGCCTGTCTCTTCCTCCTGAGGACAGAACACCACTAACTCCTTATCTTGTTCTGCCACTTACGCACCACTTGTGGCCTTAAAGGAGTCATCACACACAGGCACACGCAGCCCTGATTTCCTCACTTTGCCGTTTGAGGTTAATTCCTGTACTTCTTCCCTTGCCAGACTGTTGTGTGCATCCATGATATAATACACAAACAATCTGATTACTCAATAGGCTATTGCTAAATCACAAAAAAAAGATACCTCAGTAGGAAACACCCTGGGCTCCGAAAAGGCAGGAAAATAGTCCCTTCCAGATACATAAGCTATCTCCTTCTCCTCATTTTATAGAACTTATATGCAAAGTCTCTTGCATGGTACCAGAACACACCCTCTTTGTCTTCCAAGATGGCCACTTCAACTGGGAAGCTTTTCTGGAAGTTCATCATCCTCTATAAAATTAGACAGCCTGCATCACATGGCTTTGGAATTCTCTGAGAGGGAGTGATTACAAACAAGAACTCAGTTGTCAAATACAGGAGAATGAAGAACCAGCTCCAGTCAACGAACACACCTCGTGACTTAGCAAAGGGGTCTAATTCTCTGTGACTCAGTTCCTACATGTGGTAAATGGAACACATGAGCTGAGCTGGGAAAATTAACTCTAGGCCCAGGGATTCAGCACCTTCTTTTGCTTCCACAGGAACCTGCGTGGTGGGGGCATGTGGTGGTATTGTGTTCCCCAAAATATTGTGTACTCTAATAAATTTATCTGGGGTCAGAGAACAGACAGCCACTAGATACAAAGGCTAGAAAATGGTGGCACTCACACCTTTAATCCTAGCATTCCAGAGATAGAAATCCCTCTGGATCTCTGTGAGTTCAAGGCCACATTGGAAATAGTCAAGCATGGTGACACACGCCTTTAATCCCAGGAAGCCAGCCTTTAATCCCAGGGAGTGGTGGTAGAAAGCAGAAAGATATATAAGGCGGGAGGACCAGAAACTAGAGGCATTTGACTGGTTAAGATTTTGGCTGGTTAAGCATTTGGCCTGGTTAAGCTTCAGGCTTTTGAGCAGCAGTTCAGCTGAGAGCCATTGGGATGAGGACAAAGAAGCTTCCAGTCTGAGGAAACAGGACCAGCTGAGGAATTGGCAAGGTGAGATAGCTGTGGCTTGTTCTGTCTCTCTGACCTTCCAGTATTCACCCCAATAACACACATCAAAATACACATACATTTAAAAAAAAGAATTTTATTTCACAAATAAAATTGTAAGGTGGCCTAATGAAGTATACCGTTTAAATTTAGGATGGGAAGGGTGCTAATACAGGAAGATTCGAGGTTACAAATATTCTGGATACAGCTCATTTGTTGTTTTTAATATCCTTGTTTGAGATGTCTTTAGGAAAACCTGTATTATCTCTGCAGGAAATTCTATCTTGACTGTCCATCAACAAGAAAAACAAATTAGGTTGCAGAGAAAGGGTCATTTTTTTGCCTTCTCATGTCCCTTAATTTTTCCCTGTCTTTTATCCTGTCTCATCAATGAGACTGCAAAAGACTCCCAGGGCAGAAAGGACCCTTTAGAAGTCAGATACTTCTGTATAGAACAAAAAAAAACAAAAAAAAAAAACAAAAACAAAAAACAAACAAACAAACAAACAAAAAAACCACGAAGATGGACAGCTCAGAGCTAGGATGCAACCTTGACGTTAAGAGCTTTTTGAGCACTCCCTTTCCAAGCCCTCCATGC